TCAGTTTGAAAAGTGATCACACACACACCATAGTTCCTCTTCAAAGCCTCTACAAAGCTTACTTTTGATGACAAAAGGGACTATGCTGAACATATTTGACTCTCCAAGTATTTGGAACACTTATTTTTTTTTTCCCCTAAAGTGATTACTCTCATTATTAATTGACTTTTAGGATTTTGGAATGATTACTTTCTGCACTAAAAGTGATTACGCCCAACTCATTTGGCTCCTTCAAGCTTCTAACTCGTGTTTTTTCTTAGAATTTCCTATAAAACTAATTCAACAACAAAAATTACATATAAATTCTATTAAATCCAAACAAATTGAGCTACTAAAAGCAAAAATTGAATTTATTGAACAATTATGTTTTTTTATGATGCTTTCATCTTCCAAACTATAACTTTTCATTAAAAAGATCCTATAAAACTAACTAAAAAATCTAACAAAATATGGATTTATCAGAATGCATAATATTAGTACACATATCCATCATTGAGTTCCATTTTTCTTTAAGATACATTGTCATGTTGCACTTGGCTTTCACATTCTTAGTGATGTAAAATTAACATAGCAAATGAGTTGTATTTGAAAATACAATTTTTGTTGCATTCATCAAAGCAATATCCTTATCAATCACAATGATGTTAGACATCATGATAAATCTACATTTTAATATATTTATTGAACTGATTGTGCAAAAAATTGAAAGGAAATGAATAAAATTGTATTGAAAATAAGGAATAATGGTTAAATCTGCATAGTTGATTAAAGAGAAAAAAAAATTCACTTAAATATAATTTCCTTGTCTAAATTTATCAATTTTGATGCAGTTTCATTAGAATTCAAAAGGAAGAAATTGGAAGGATTTAGAAACTTTTAAGTGAACTTTAAAGAAAAACAAGATATCTGAATTTCATTGTCTTCATGTTCTGAGTTAGAAGTTGACAAAAATAGGCGTGTGTTAGGATATGCAATTTTCAATGTTTTCACTTTTAATGCTTAGAAATTACTCAAAGTCAATGAAAGTTGCGCAAGTACTGTCATCCAAAAGTTAATGTCCTCACATCGCAATGAAACATAATTTAAAACGCGAGTTAGGACATCCATAACTCCATGTCTCCACATTTCATATGTAAAAGTGATGAGTCAATAACTCATCTAGAAAATTAAAGGTTTTTAGGCATATTTTATTGAATTTAAATTATAAGTCAATGCAATTAATTAAGAAATTCAATGGAATGTTGTATTTGCTGGAAAATTCATGAATCACTCATATTCTAATGGCTGATAATTTTATTTTGAAGGGATTAAAAAGAAATTCTGCAATTGGACTTAAAGAGTAAAAGAGGAGTGTTGCAGGTCTGATTTGTGGGGACACGAACTTTTATTTGTGGGGACACGACGTTGACTAATGTATATAAAAGCGAAAAAATTCTGAAAAGGCGGCATCTTTTATCTTTCTTTTTTTAGAACATTCTAAAGCACGGTTTTTTAAGTTTTCATACAGTTTTACGTAGAATAGGGTAACTAGGGTATTTTCTTTACATCTTGGTAGAAGGATTCTCATGGAAACTTGGATTTCCTTTCCATCTTCTCTGATTTTTGTAATAGAACAATAACACTTTCATTCTATCCTTTTGTTGTAAGCTTTTCTATAACTATGAATTTCATTTCTGCAATATATCTCAGTTTTAATTCATTTCCTTTCATAATGTCTAGTTAAATCTCTTTGGGGTTGAGTAAAGATGAACTTATACCTTTACCCATTGCAATGAACTAAGCATTGTATGTGACTCAAGATGGAAGCTTTACTCTAACTTTTTAATTCTGAACTTAATGCCTCGCTGTTCTACGTGAATGAGGTTGATGAAAAGGAGTTCATTGCTGGAAAGTTGTGAACTTTCTTGGACTAGAGTTAAAATGCTTATTATGAATTGTCTAGGAATAGAAATTTATGATAATGTGGTCATATGGGTTTTATCCTTAATGTTGAACGTTTTTTGTTTACCTAAGGGATTAGGAGATTAAAAGTCGTTTTAGAACCAATTACCAAGGGATTGGAGTTGGATAATTGAAACAACCTGACCATTAGATTGGCTATATTTTGAGTTACAAGTATATTTTAAGTAAGGGGAAAGGGATAAGGGATTCTAAACTCAACCTATTTATTAATCTTTGCAAAAACCTATTTTCTTTACTTGAGTTATTTACATTCTACAATTCTGTTACTTATTTTCTGTATTAAGTTTTACTTTTGTCCATTTATTAATTGTAATTCCAGCATATTTACTTTCAGTTTTAAAATTCTACTGTGTTAAATTTCGTATTACTATATATACTCTGTTTTGGTGATCCAACTAGTAATATTCTTGTGGTTTGATACTTAACACTTATCTCAGTGGACGATAATCTTTGTAACTTCAACGATTTGGTGCACTTGCCAAAAAGTTTTATAAAAAAGCAAACTATACTTATAAAACAAGTTGTTTAAAGTTAATTCTTTTGAAATTTTTTAGACTGTGGACTAAAAAAATACTTTAATTTCACAATGACCTATCTTCAAATTTGAAAAACTCTATAAATAGATGAAGATGTTTAATTTGGGAGATGGGTTGATTCTAAATTTTAGTTCAATTTTTTGCAACTTAGGTTCTTGTTTTTTTTTTGTATTTTTTTTTTTTAGTTTTCATTTTTTTTTCAAGTTCTTTCTCTTCTTAATTTGTGTGAGATTGAAGTGAGATACATTGGACACAAACATGAAACTTCAATAAAGGATATATTTCTAGATATTTCTTCATTCTTGAGTTTCTCTGTATTATTTACTATGTTTTCTAAATTTATAGGTTATGAAAGGATGTTATATGGATTCAAACTAATTTAATCTTCATTTTGTAAAATCTAATTTATACTTTTTGATAATTGTATAGTTTTACTTCTGAATTTAATGCTTCAATTAAATTGGTTATTTGATTGTATGAATTTAGAAAATTTATGGACAATGGACACATTGGTGGATATGTTTAAATTTAAAGTTTATTCAATTTTTAATCACGTAGACATAAGAGTTGAAGATTGATTTGATTGTTATTAATTATTGTTCATAAATGTTATATTAGTTGATTCTACCTAAAATATTAGAATTTTTTAGCTACAATTAGTGTAAAATATCAAAATATTAGATTTTACTATACTAAAGAGTAATTATGTTATAAAACTAAGTTGGAATGTGTATTTTCTACATAAGTGAGAATATGGATGAAATTTGAATCTTAACCATCTTTGTTATTGTGATTTCATATCTGTTTCATATTCAATTCTTTGTGTAATTGTGTTTTTCTATTTTGTATTTGTTTGTTATGTATATTTGCATAAAAATCTTATATTGTTATACTTAATCTTGTTTGTTCTATATTGCATATTGACCTTTATATTCTTTCTTCTCTCTCTCTTTTTTATTCTTATAGTAATTTGAATTTCATTTTGTTATTTGTATTTAATGCAATTTTTCACCACAAGATATTTTTCTCTCAACATAATTCTAATTTAAAAACTTAAAAGCATGTTGGTTAGTTTATTTTATATTTAGTTTTATGCTAATTGTTTAGCAACAATTCTTGTGAGAGCAATGCATTCTATACTCTTTTAAAATGATTAGTGCACTTGCCACATTTTTAGTACAAACTAAGCATCATATTACATTATATGTTTAGAATAATTATTTCAAATTTAGTAATGTCTAAGTGAAATTGTCTTCTTGCTCAGTCATCAAACAAGCAAATGTTATAGAAAATATCAATTTAGTCTATATCTATTGGTTTTATATATACTATTAATTATCAAAATAATGTTGAATGCATGTAATTATTTTATAGTTTTATGGAAGCTGGATATATTCATAATATGTTTATTATAACATTAGACATTAGAGTTTTTCTATGTCAATGCACGTATTTATCATGTTTCAATAATTTTATTAGCTATTGAATTTCAGTTTTAGAACCTTTTAAAAAGACTTAAAATGTATGACATGCATTGCATAACTACTTGATAGTTGTTAAGTTACTTTCACTATGATATTTTAATGTAAACAATATAGTTCTTTTATTTACCATGTTCTTTGTCATATTAGTAAGCAAAGATTTTCTTCACCACTTTGTTGACTAGGAAATGCATGTTCCACCAATATTTATGCACTTTTATGATAATCAAATCTGCACACTACTATAAGCATTTTTTTTAGATCTAGTTACCTTTTGTACTAACTCATTCTAATATATTCTATATCTTTTGCTCTTTTTACAATGTTAACATTGTCTTCTTTTTTTTATATAACCCTTATGTTTAAACTAATAATAATGACAATAAATCTATTTTTATCCCAATTTCTTGAGTTTATTTCAAAATATTGCTTGATAAAAATAATCTATAAAATAAAATAAATATATAATATGCAAGTTCATATATTAAAAAATTTATAATAAAAATTAATTATTTAATCATTTATTTAGTGATAAATACTTTACTATAATTCATAATTTTTTTTGAATTTTTTATTCAACTTTTTTATAACTAACCAATTTATAAAAGACATTTTACATTAAATCATTATGTTAAAGATTGTATTATTATACATTGAAGATTTTCTTACGTGGTTGACAATAAATATAAAATATTTTTAGAAATAAGGTTTCAAAATCGCATTAATTAAAATTTCAAAACATTTTTGTAAGCTTGTTAATATCAAAAATTAAATTTTAAAAAAATAATTTTTAAATAACGAATAAAAGATTAAACACATATAGGACGAGTTTAATGATTAATAAATATAAGAAACACACATTTTTGAATCACTGATCACTGCTGTTAGCTTTAAAAAATTAACCTGACATTAATAAGAGTATTTGTTAAAAAGATGTTGCAAATTAAAAAAAAAAAAAAAAAAGAAGCAAGCTCCACCGCCTAGTAGTGTGGTTTACTTCGTAAATCAACAATCGAATTGCACTTCTGAATTGTACGACCAAAAAAATGTGTTCTATTATTATAATTTTCAGCCTGCAACTTTGCTTTGGAACAAAAAAAGAAACGGCCTGAAACGTTGCTTTGTTGGATCCTTTTGAAAAGTCCGACATATATAAAAAGAATCGATTTTTGATTATTATTATTTCAACTAATTAATGATTAACCATTTTCATCACTTAATTAATGAATTCTCCGAAATCATGTTTTGTCCAAGATCACTGCTACGCCCCAAGACTACCTTTACTCTCTCCGAGATCAACTACAAGGTGAATAAGAAGGTATGAATGTTTCATCGTGAAGTCTCTCTCTCTTTATCTCTCTTTCTACGCAATAGCAAGGTGGGTCTTCGTGCATGTCCCAATCGTTGACTTTTTTTATTATATGCTTTTTTGGGTGAAATAAGATTGATTGATTTGGTAAATAGGAGAAAAATCTTATTGCGATGATGATGATTTTGATCTCAATAATTGTTTGATCAAAATGATTTTGTTTGTTTTCTTTGTTTTGTCTGTAGAATTTTCTTACCCTTGGATTGAACCGATTAGGAAATTTAGGGTTCATCAAAAGATGAAAACTTGATTTCAAATTGTTACTACAGTATATGCTTATATCTTTTGAGTTCTTTGAATTCAATAAACATGTGGCATGATAGCCATGCTTATCTTCCATTCTTTACTTTGAAGATTTAGTGGTGTTTGTGTTGTGATTCATATGTAAAATATATACTGCTTAGCATATAGTTGGAATGGCGCGATCTTCATTGGATGAGATATCAGACTCTGGTGCATTTGAAAGATCTGCTTCCACATTCCGAAATTTCATTTCGAGCAACCCGAATTCCCAGTTTGCAGCTGAGTCTGGAAGGTACCATCTGTATATATCATATGCTTGCCCTTGGGCTTCCAGGTGCCTTGCTTACTTGAATATCAAAGGACTTAATAAAGCCATCAGTTTCTCGGTTAGTAGCATTCATGCTGAATGTTTTCATGTAGAATAGTTACATTATCAGAATTTCATATTGAATGTGTTTATCAGGTAGTCAAACCTGTCTTTGAAAGAACTAGAGAATCAGATGAGTACAAGGGATGGGTTTTTCCTGATTCAGAAACCGATGTGCCAGGAGCTGAACCTGATATGTTGAATGGAGCAAAGAGTGTTAGGGAACTTTACGAAATTGCTAGTACAAACTACACTGGAAAGTACACTGTTCCTGTATGTTTTCTTTTTAAGAAACACTGGCTTCTTTCTTGGATTTTTTTTTTTTTCATTTGCTTTGCTGGGAAAATTTTTGTTGACATCTGATGGATATTGAACTGCACAGATTCTGTGGGATAAGAAACGCAAGACAATTGTTAACAATGAGAGCTCAGAGATAATCCGCATGTTTAATACTGAATTCAACAATGTTGCAGAAAATCCCACCTTGGACTTGTATCCGGCTGATTTGAAAGCCCAAATTGATGAGATTAACGAGTGGATTTACGATAGTATAAACAATGGTGTTTATAAATGTGGGTTTGCGAAGAAGCAAGAACCATACAATGAGGTAAATAGCTATTTTTAACAATTTTCAGGGGCAGTTAGTATTTACTTTCGTACATAAATTCATTAAAATTCTGTTGTACCTTGGCAATGGCAACTGTTTACTTGGTCCTTTCTGCAGGCTGCAAGACAATTGTATGAATCTTTAGACAAATGTGAGAATATACTTAGTAAGCAACGGTATATATGTGGCAACACACTTACTGAAGCAGACATTCGGTTGTTTGTCACTCTCATTAGATTTGATGAGGTAAAGTGTGTGTATGCGTGTGTATTATAAGGCATTTATTGTTGATATTTGGGTCTTGGGAATATTGTGTTTTCTTGTTACAGTGTTACTTGTATTATGCTAATTATCTACTCAAAGAAGCATCACAATAAGAGCTTCCTTTCAGAACTCAGAATTAAATGAAATTTCAGGCAAACCTAAGTGAGTGCAGAGCTGGAGTCTCCCTCAGTTTTAAGACTATTTCTTGTAAAAATATGGAGTTTGTCCTTTCAAATTTCATTTCTTTTTTTACATTAAAATCTCATTATTTCTATCCTGGGCTTGGAAATTTACTAAGTTGTGCTGATGAGTTAAATCCTAACAAATGAATTGAAACCAATATAATATTTGTTTTCAAATCATAAGCCATTTTTATATCTCTGCCTGTACTGTCTTCAAAATTTTCCTTCATAAAAATAAATATATTGGCTATAGCTGGTGCAAAAGTGTAAACATCTCAAATTTCTTCTTTATTCTCCGTTAAATTTTGAGGTATCACAGTGAAAAATCATTATCTTCACAAAATTTTCCTTCTTGTTATTGCTTTATTGTTATTACATGAACACTTAATGGTTTGCATTAAAAAGAGAGCATACTGGAGGAAAAAGCTGTGAAGTGGAACTGAAATTTTAAAAGTTTTTCTCGATTCTTTGTGTTTTTATCATATATCTCCTCAACATTTTGATGGTGTTTGAAGAACATACAAGAATTAGGATGATTGACTCATTACATGACTCAACATTTTGGACTCATTTTTCAATCTATCCAATCCAATGTTCTGAATGTTGATTGTTGAGTAATTAGCCTTTGTTATAATTGTAGGTTTATTCAGTTCACTTTAAGTGCAACAAGAAGCTACTGCGTGAATATCCAAATCTCTTCAATTATACTAAAGACATTTTCCAAATTCCGGGCATTAGTAGCACAGTGAACATGGAACATATAAAGTTGCATTATTATGGAAGCCATCCTTCTATCAATCCATTTGGGATCGTTCCTGTGGGGCCAAGTATTGATTATTCTGCTCCTCATGACAGAGAAAGGTTTTCTTCATAGATGGTCTATTTGTATAATTGCAAGAGATCTATGAGAAATTTTCTGTTCCTGTAAGGGATTGTTTTGTTGAAATTTGCAGGAACAGCAATACTTTGTCAGAAAAACCTATTTCTAAATAAACTGAGACAGGTGTGTATGTGTGTGCAATTTAATGTTGGAATTTTTTCTGTCATTGAAGCGAGACATATCGTATGAGTCATATTGTGCTGTGATTAAATAGATTGGAAAGATCACATATATTTGTCGTTGGGCTTTGGGTTGAACTTTGTAGTATGTTGGAGCTTGTGCAGGCCCAGATTGTTTGGGTCCAGTAGAAATTGATGAAGTGGGAGAAAGTAAGTGAAAGTGACGAAAAATTTTAGTTGAACCCAGGTTCATCTGAGAAAAAAAAATGTTGTACTATCAAATGTTACTGAACATCATGAGAAGTTTTTGTAACGGATTGTCTATCAAACTTTAATAGACTCTAATTAACTCCAACAACTTATGAACAATTAAAGGAAGTGCAGAAATAAACATAACACAAGAGTGTACTCTGGTCTCTTGCAGTAACACGTTCCTTACAAAGTGGTAAATTGCAATAAGAGTAAAAGGACTAACGATTTTCTTGAAGCACTGTGGCTATTATTGGCAAGCATTGACTTACTTGGTCCGGATGAGAAGCTAAGGTGTAATGGTTTGGGTTTGAACACATATGTGCTAATAGTTAGTGCAAATGTGACCATTAATAAACGTGTGGCAACCAATATGCAACTGAAAGAAGTTTTGGCGGTTGAAAATGATGGGGCTGCTGCTCTGTTTTCAAAGGATTTAAAGTTACTGATAGGATTGCTAAGTAATAAAGATAATGCATGATGACCCTTTTTTCCTAAGCAACCAAGTAAGTCTAGCCTTTGCAATTTGCTACATCTTGAAGAATGAGGAGTGTTTAGTTGATGGCTTTCCAAAAAGTAAGATTATGTTTGCTTTATGTAAAAACAATTTTTTTTAAGTGAAATAAAATAAAATTTGTTTGTTAAAATAAATTTTAAAAATAATATTTTAAAATTATTTTAAAATATTATTTTTCAAAATTAAAAATCAAATAAAAAACAAACAGACCCTAAGTTTGTTTATTTTTTCCTTTTCATAAAAAGTTTCATACAATATTGTATTACAATTTTTTTAAGTGTTTGCAATGGTATTTGTAAACATAAGATGATATTATATATCTTCTTTAAAATATCAATTTTGATTTCTCTAACATCTTAAAGATTAGAAGATGTTAACGTCTTTTTTAATTAAAACACTAATTTTATTATTTATTAGTATAAAATTACCAATGACAATTGTTCCACGTATAAGATAGAGAACCAAATTGTCTCGATTGCAAGAGTTGTAATAGATTTTACTTTTTTTTTTATGGATCCAAATCCTAAAAATTATTTACCCTATTGGGGTTGATGTACATCTTAAAAATCACACATTGTTTGAAGTATGTTGGAAGAAGTCTCATGTCTGGAATGAATAAGGTTATATAATGTACTTGAGTTCATAAAATTAAGGCAATTCAGTCAAAAACACTTTAAGTTTATATTTGACTTTTTTTATACTCTTATACTAGAGTGCTATGAAATTTAGTTTAATTATTTGCTTTAAGAGTGTGAGTGTATTGGGGAAAGTTTTTTCTTCAATTTTAATATTTCTACATTATATTCCTTATTTACTATTTTTATCTTATTTCTTTGTCAAAAGGATAATTTTCAAGAGATAAAGATAATATTTCTTTCTTTTTTTATCTAACATAATTAGGTGTAAAAAAGTTGAGACAAATTAAATACTTTTCAAATAACTATAATATGTAAGTTAACTTGTTTATTTAAACTATCTAAATTTAAAGTTTCATCTTTTTTTATTGAAAAAAATATGAAACTAAAATTCAATTTGTTTAACTCATTTACAGTTTAGTAATTTTTTTATGTGTCAAATATTTTTTAAAAGTAGTTTTTATCTATTAATTTAGTATTGAATAGACTTTTATGTTGCAAGAAAAAAAGTAAAAATAAAAAAAAAATAAACATATCTAAATAATAATAATAATTTTTATCAAGTATAATTTTTTTACTTAGATGAAATTAACTTTAACCTTTTAAACTGAACTTGTTTTATTTATATAATCAAATATAAAAATAACTGTGAACTTTTTGTCAATCTGTTTATGGTAAATGTTAATAGATATCTAAACCATATTGATTAAGGAATTAAGGATCTATTTGAATGAAGAATGAAATAAAGAGAAAAAAAATAAAAGAAATAAGTGAATAAAAAATACAGTAAAAATAACATGAAAAGGATGTATTATTTGAACTATTGAATGAATAAAAATAAAAATAAAATATAAAAAATATTAAATTATTTAAATAAATGAAAAAGAAAGTAATAAATAAATCATATTTAAAATTATTTTTAATAATTAGAAAATATTAATTGAATAAAAATATAAAACTTTAGTATAATATTTTTAGTAAAAATATTTTTAAATTTGACTTAAATATATTTTTAATCTTCACATATTAGTGAGTTTTTTTTGTTTTAGTTTCCTTAAAATATTTTTTTTTTATTTTAGTTTCTATTTTTTTTTTATAAATTTTTATTTTTAGATCATAACACTGACGTGATTAAACCAAAAACTGGCACATGATTGAATCTTAATAAATCAATATTAAGAACTAAAAATAAAATTTTATTAAAAAAATAAATTAAAATAAAAAAATTATTTAAAAGAATTAAAACAAAAAATTTATTAAAATGAAAAAATAAAAAATTATATTTAAGCGATATTATTTAAAAATTATTTAATTAAAGAATAAATTAAATTTAAGTAATACCTTAACCCTTTCTTCCTTCTCTCCTCTCTTATTTCTCTCTAATTTGGAGGTTATTACTTTTTTTAGTGAGTCTCACATTTCCAAACTTTCTTCCATCCACTTTTTAGAACAGTTAAATAAGGAAGGTTTTATATATTCATTCAATTTTCTCTTTAATTTTTTTCTCTTAATTACCTCAATCTAAATAAAGTGTAAACATGAAAAGTATTTATTAAAAAATATTATTAATGTATATTCAATATAATTTTAATGTATCTTAAAAATTATTTTTAATTATTTAATCTGTACTTTAAGTACTGATTAGCAAAATTCTTTATTTATAATCAAATAAAATTTGATTGATACTTATTATTAGGAGAAAATTTTGTAAATTGAACTATCCTTTTACTAAATGGTGTATCTCTTAAAAAAAAGAGTGTTTAATAATCATGTTATTCCTTAATAATCATCTTCAACTTTGACTTTTTTTATAAATTAGTAAAATAAATTTTGAAACCTTCTTAATTAACACTACTTATATCCACATTGTCTTTTAAAATATTCATTAAAACAATCATTTCATATTTGTGTTAATTTAAAAAATAAATCAAATATTAAAAATATTATAATAATAAAATAATTTAAATAATTAAAGTATTGGAATGATATGACGTAATAATTTTAATAGCAGATAAACCCTATTAATGAAATAGTGACAATTTAAAATTTAAGCACGAAGATTGCATACTTACTTGCAAGTATTAGGAGTATTCGTACTTCGATTTCAATTATTTTAAAATAATGTTAGGTTTAATTTAATTTAATCAAATTAAAAGTAGTTCAAATTTAATCGAACGATTCAATTTGTATATTTTTATTTATAAGAATATGTAATTTATATTAAATAAAATTAGACTGCAATATAAAAATAATTTAAAGTATCAACTACCATATTTAAATTATAAATATTAGTCAAATAGACTTAAATTTTCTTTAAAAAATGCTAAAATAAAACTAATACACATCTTACTAAAACGTAATTAAGGTAACGATTTATGTAAAAAAAAAAAAACTAGCATAATAATTTCATAAATTTACACTTAAATAAGGATCAGTTTTATGTTAATTAGGGTTTTACTAATAATTTCTTAACTAATGTCTTAACAACACTGATTGACATTTGCTTATGAATTAAGTTTGTATTAGATTTGATGCAATCTAAAACTAAATTACAAAATCTAACCTAATCCAATCTTTTTATTTTATTTTATTTATTTTGTATGGAGTTAATTAAATGGATTTATGACTCCTAACAGGCATAAGTGACCGAAGCTTACGTCTAAGATCTCACTTAAGTGGGATCGCATAAAAAAAACACTCATATGTGTGTATAAAAAAAATCGATATTGAATTAAGAATATATTTTATGAAAATATACTTTTAATTTTAAAAGGAATATATATGGAATTTTAAATAATTTTAAGAGAAAGAAACTAAACTTGATGGTATAAAATTAATAGCTAATATAACATCACAAAAAGTAAGAAAGTTGGGGTGTAAAAATTAATAAATATATATTATTTATATGATTCAAAGGACCTTAAAATAACTTTGAGCAGGCCATCTAGAAGATTGTAGAGTTTACAGTGCCAATTTAGAAACTAATCAAAGTTTAGAGAGACAATAAATATTTAAAAAAAGAATAATTAGAGATGATGGAATGGGCAAGGAATGGAGAAGGAAAAACCAAAAGGAAGTGTGTTTATTGTATTATGAGAAAATAATAATGCAAAATAGATGAAAGGCATATCCATAAAAGAAAAGATTGCGTAGTAGCATTGCTCTTTTCATCGTGCATTCTTCAGCTGTTCGACAAGAGTGCGCTGACCATATTAGCATGCGTAAGGGACCTTAATTGCGCTGGGACCCACACCCCCCTCCAATTATTGCTTTCTTCAATTTTTTCTTCCTCCAAGGAGTAGAACAATCCATCTTCATCTTATTAATTTTCAATGGTTCAAGGTGATTGGATTTTGATTTTTTTTTTTCAGTTTTAATGCGAATTGCACCATGAAATTAGTGTAAAAGATGTAATTTAATTAAAAAATATATTAAAATATTAATTTAGTTAAATATTTTTTTAATTATTGAATCGTTTAAAACAGCTGTTTTGATTTTAAATTTTAAATTATAAATTAAACTAAAATAATTTGTTATATTAAAATAAAAGTGCTTGTTATGTTACCTTTGAATTTGAGAGGAAAAAAAAGGAGTATTTTATATTTTTGATAGATTAATGATTATGGTAAAAAATAGAGTTATTTTTTCTGCAATTTTTTTTAAAATAAATAAATAATTTCACTATTTACTATTAATGACGATTATTTTACATGAAAGAAAATATTAAACATTTTTATCTGTAAAGTGTGTCGTAGATTCTACTTAAAATAAACGTAGATGAGAATTAATTTTAAATTTTTTAAATTTGTGATCTTATTTTTCACTTAAGAAAAATATGAATTTAACTATAATTGTTTTATTAAAATGTGAGAATTATTTTTTAAAGATTGGGCATATAGTTGTAGGAG